GGGCCAACAGTGTTACCTATGATTTTCCTGATTGGTTGATAAATTGGGTCAATGTCAATATGTTTGTTGATTGCTAATTGACCTGAGTGCCAAGCTTCTAAAAATTCTCTAGTGTTCTTTGTCCTCCCCCTACCCAGTATTTCCACATTGTTCCAATCAAATGTGTGTCCATAGTTGTCGGTGTGTATTGATATAAGCGAAGCGTTATCATGGCGTTTGACTCAGTCAGTCAGTCAGTTGCAACGTAGAACTTCGTACGTATGTACATAAGTTCATGTTGCCATACCACATTATTAGCACAGAGACGCAAATGTCAAATCAAATCCCATAGTGATAAAGATAGTAGAGGTATTAATGTTAATAAAGAAGACTAGGGTTTGAAGATATTATTCAAAAAATATAATTCAGTGAGATAAGGTTAGAAAGACAAAGGTAGAGGTGCTGGCTAATCCAGAAGATTAGGATTTGAGAGAGCTCAAAGAGTGGATGCACCTGCGCCATTGCAAACGATTTTGAGCCATGTCGTTCAATGTCTCTAACCATTGATGACTTTCGTCTCGCGAACCCCAACCAGGTAGTCTACATCTACCAAAATGACTCAGTCCACTTGTCAGTGACTTCATGGATTTGTGCCATGTTTTGGTCTGGCCGCCCCTGGCTTTCTTCCAACCTACTCCTACACCACAAAACATAGCTCGTCGAAGCAGTCGGTGGTTAGCCATACGTAACACATCTCCCAACCACCTCAACTGATGAAGTTTCACCACTTCATCTATTGATCTGCCATCCTTACCTATTACTCGTTTCCTAACGACAGCATTGCTTACTCGGTTGTCCCACGATATACGAGCAATGCTTCTTAAACATCTATGATCGAATACTAGTAACCCACGAACATCTTCTACTCTTAACGGCCATGTTTCACAGCCATATAAGAGAACGGAACGAACTGCTGCGCAGTACACCCGCCCTTTGGTTAGCGAACGGATATCACGCCTACGCCATAAGTGACGCAGGTTGGCAAAAGCCAATCGAGCTTTCTGTATCCGAGCTGAGATTTCGTCAGTCACCAGACCGTCAGCACTGATGAGACTCCCGAGATAAGTGAAGTGATCTACACGCTCGACTACTTCACTCCCTATCACTAGTTCAGGTGCCAATGCAATCCAGTCTTGAAGCAACATTTTGCATTTCGAGGGGGTAAACCGCATCCCGAACATGCTCGCATTGTTGCTTAGGGTAGTCAGAAGACTCTGCATTTTGTCAGCGTCTTCACCGAATAGAACTATGTCATCGGCATATTCTAGATCAGTAAGCGACTTTCCTGGTAGAAGGTCAACCCCTGAAAAATCTGACGAGCTTAATGTTAACTCTAAGAGGATGTCTACGACAAAGTTAAACAAGAATGGAGAGAGTGGACAGCCCTGACGCACACCACTTGATGTAGAGAATTCAGATGACAGTTCGCCATATGCTCTCACCCGACCAGTGGTGTTCGAGTAGAGAGAGTGCTTGTATAAGGTTAATGTACTTCTTTGGTACACCTTTCAATGACAGACACTGCCACAGAATCTCACGATCCAGTGAGTCGAATGCTGCCTTAAGGTCCAGGAACACGACTATTGTCGGGCGTCTAAATGTGTGTCTGTGTTCCAGGACCTGTCGTAGTGTGAAGATGTGGTCTATACAACCACGTCCAGGTCGAAATCCAGCCTGGTTTTCTCGAGTCTGCTCTTGACGAGCTCTAGTTAGACGTCTAAGTATAATCGAGGCTAACAATTTAGAAACTATATTAGTTAAACTTATTCTCCTGTGATTGTCACAACAAGACTTCTGTCCTTTCTTGTAGATTGGGACAATTAGCGACTGAGACCAGTCGGATGGGATTTCGAGCATCCATCAATTCGGTGGATGCGACTGAAATCCAAGCCTTGTGGTTTACCTTGCTAGCAGATACAATTGCTGTTTCCACATCCTTCTTGATATGATTCCAACCTGCTTCAGGATGGGAATCATTTGCATGGCCGCCTAACTGTTTTTCTAGTTCCTCCTGAAATATTTTCTTAGCTTGATTATCATCAAGTAAAGCCCTAAGAGGCTTCCTTACGGTGTCTTTCCTACGTCCAGCAAGCCTCAAAGAAATACGTGCTCGCACTAGGGCATGATCTGAATCTAAACATGTGCCCCAGAACGAGCGACAGTCCTCTATCGAACCACTCCATCGGTGGCTGATGGCGATATGATCTAGTTGTGTCCAACGTTGAGACGACTTCGGGGGTCGCCAGGTCAAAAGGTGTTTTTCCTTATGCTTAAAATTAGTGTTTGCTAGAAATAGTTGGTTATCTGAGCACAGTTGCAACAGGCGGTCGCCATTGTCTGTTCTTTGAGCCGCGAGACCGTAACAACCACCTAGGTGTCTTTCATTTTCACTTAGTCTACCTACTTGTGCATTGAAGTCGCCAGCCATTATAACTATATCAGAGCGCTTAGCTTTTTGGAGGAGGTCCGAAAGCTTTGTGTAAAACTCATCTTTTACATCATCTGGGCTGCAGTCAGTGGGGGCGTAAGCTGATATGACGAAGAGGCAACGGCGAGTGTCCCTATCTTTCCGAGTCCTTACTGTCCCGTTCAGTCGGACGGCGCACAAGCGACTATCTACAGGGATCCAGTCAAGGAGAGATTGTTCTGCCCTACGACTCAATGCTATACCTACACCGGCGAGGCCCCTAGAAGCAGCATCAGGGCTACCGGATACACGAAGGGTAAATCGAGCTGCTTCTTTATCTTGACATGGTGAGGTCAAATGAGTGATGCTACTCGGATCCTGTATGCGCGTTTCCGAGACGCAGCATACATCGATGGAACGAGATTCTAAAATCCTAGCTAAGGAAGCCTGTTGCCCTATTTGACACAAAGTCCGTACATTGAATGCTCCAACATGTAGTTTGGAACGAGATTTAAGGAGACCAGGAATGACGTTTCGTGAACTCGCATCGTTTGCATTAGCTGTGCACTGTAATAAATGAATGTGAGAAGAGTTAGTTGTGGAGATAAGAGAGGTATTAGGGAAGGTAGGTAGGATTTGATTTTGAACAAATTGGTCTCGTGTGCTGTTGCGGGTATGAGGGCGGTTATCACTTCCCGGCTGCCCACGCCGTGGAAGGATGTTTCCTGACGAACCTGAAAAGGAAGATGGATTAGTGTTGGTGCGTGACCGCAGAGTCCAAGTGACAACTGCTTGAGGCCGGTCACGCACGGCCTTATTATGAAAGGTGTTTTGAGGATTAGCTTCGCTCTTAAAGGCCCTTAGTGGGCACCCATACCGACGGAGACGGAAATCCGTGAGGTAGGGGAGGTGTGAAATTCTTAGGGTCGACCTTTTCTAACCCTTCCTTCCTTGTGAGAAGGCAGCATCGCTGCAGATGCTGGTTGTCTGAGGGAAACACCTTACTGCTGTCACACGCCTCTGCAGTCAGCAGTACGACTTCGCCCTCAGACCTTGGGCAGCTGCTTTTAGTCTCATCGTTCTCCAATCGACCTGCCTGGCATGGTAGGACCTGTAGGAACATTGTTCCAGCCAGTATAGCTCTGTTGGGTCATCACGATAGGCAAGCCCGACCACCACGTCAAGGTAGCAGCTTCCGTCGGCGTTTGACTGCTAATTGATGTTCACGTAAACGGAGCTGAAGAGGTCGTCCACTTTGTCCTATGTAGTGTTTCTCACAGTTTGAGCAATTTATTTTGTAGATGATATTTGGTTTTCCTTCCTTTGTCATTTTGTCCTTTGGTCTACATAGGATTGACTGAAGTGATTCTGTTGGTTTGTGTGCCACACCTATTCCAAATGGTTTCAGTAGTCGTGCCGTATGCTCCGATATGTCTTTGATGTATGGCAGGATGATGCGTTTATTTGTTCCTGCGCTTGATTTCGCTTCTGATGGTGGTTTCGGTTGATGTTCTCTGATGAAGTTGCATGGATAGCTGTTCTTTTGGAAGATGGTCATCAGGTGTTTTTCCTCGTTCTTTAATGTTTCGTACGTGCTGCAGTGTGTCTTCGCTCTCTTGAACAGAGTTTGTATGCAGTTAATCTTGTGGGTTCTTGGGTTGTTGCTATCGTAGTTGAGAATTACGTCGATGTGGGTTGGCTTCCGAAATACTTGAGTTTCTAGTTTTCCTGTGTTAGTTCTGGTGATTAGTACATCCAGGAATGATAGACTGTTGTTTGATTCCTTTTCCATCGTGAATTTGATGTCATCAAAGACGTTGTTGATCAGATTGTAGATGTTCTCCAGCTCATTCCTTTTGATAATAACGAATGTGTCGTTTACATAGCAAACCCACATTTTTGGCTTTATCACTGGCAGAATCGACGCTTCCAGTCTCTGTACTACAGCTTCGACGATGAGTCCTGATATTGGTGATCCCATTAGTGTTCCTTTTATTTGTTCACAGACTCTGTTGTTGAACTGAAGATACGTTGTTAAGCATAGGTCGATGAGTTCAAGCAAGCTTTGACTCTGAAGCTTTGTATATTTTTGTAGATTTGTGTCGTTGATGAGGAGCAGAGAAAGAGTTTCTTTAACCAAGTTTGGCTCTATTGAGGTAAATAAGGCTGTTACGTCGAAGGATATCATTATTTCGTCGTTGTCAATTTGAATTTATTGAGTTTATCCAAGAATTGTGTGGCAGACTTAATGGAGTAGTTGGATTCATCCACCAGATGTTTTAATATCCTTGAAATTTCTCTTGATAAGTTGTACGTCGGGGTTCCGGCGAGGGATACAATAGCCATGACAACGCTTCGCTTATATCAATACACACCGACAACTATGGACACACAATTGATTGTAACAATGTGGAAATACTGGGTAGGGGGAGGACAAAGAACACTAGAGAATTTTTAGAAGCTTGGCACTCAGGTCAATTAGCAATCAACAAACATATTGACATTGACCCAATTTATCAACCAATCAGGAAAATCATAGGTGACACAGGATCAAGAAACAGATCAAAAGGGGGAGGCAATCAAAACAAATTTGCAAACAACGACAGGTCAAAGGTCGACAGCAACCAATCAAGATCGAGGTTAGCAGAACAAGCTACGGGTCAAACGTGGAGAAATTCGAATGCGTCACTTCTATCTGAAGTTAGTGCTGATGAAGTTGTTCAGAAGAACAATGAAAGCTCCACAACCAAAACAACCAGTTCAGAGAACGAAACACCACCACAATCATCCACCTGAGCTACAATTTTTCTCCACCATCTCATGAGCAGAAATCCTCTATTCACCTATATGTGACGTGCTCAGGCATTAACTAGAATCACGTCAACTCCTTGCTGAATGGAATCAAGCTACTCTGTATTCAACCTTCAAAGGAAGAGAGAGAAAAGACCCAGCCTGTTACAGACCAGTCGCATTACTACCAATACTATCAAAGGTAATGGAAAGGCTGGTGAACGAACAAATGAGGGAGTACATGGATATGAATGAAATACTCAGTGAAGCTAAACACCGGAAAGGCAGGTCGTGTGCATCTAATCTTCTGATTGCATGGGACAGTTGGACATCCTGTTTGGACCGTAAAATGCCGGTGCAAGTAATATTTTTCGGCTTTGCAAAAGCCTTTGACACAGTGCCTCACGCAGGACTAATCGAAAAGGTTGTGGAAAAGGGCTTCGCTGACCGACTCCTATCATGGCTCAGAAACTATCTTGAGAATAGAAAGTTTCGTACCAAGGTAAATAGGGTGCAGGCGAGTTGGCGAGTATCCACATCGGGAGTTGCACAGGAGACCATCTTAGGTCCGCTTCCCTTCGTGATATTTATTAACGACCCGTTAGGCTTAGTCGACTCACCGGTATTGATCTACGCAGACGATGCGAAGATCTGGAAGTCCATTAGAAGCATAGATGATTCGACTAAGCTTCAAAAAGAGTTTACATCCATTCAGGAATGGGTGGTGAAAAACGGTTTGAAAGTAAACCGGTCTGAATGTCACGTCCTGCGCATTCTGTCCGCATGACGCAAACGATATACACCCTCAATGGAAGTCCACTCCCTAATGTCTCCGTTTAGTAACCACTGAAAGCCTCCTCCAATACTGAGGAGACGCAGTCAAGGCTAATGCGACTGTTCAGTTTATGCGAAGACAACTTGGTGCTATCACTCCACAATCATCCTCAACACTGTTTAAAACACATGCGCGCCCACACCTGGAGGTCAACAACGTCATCGTACCCCCTCTACATAAAACAAACATAAATCTCTCGGATCAAGTGCAGGGTGATAGGGTTGAAAAAAAAACCTTACGAATATAGACTCCAGCATTTGGGATTGGTCCCTCCAAGTTACAGGAGAACCAGAAGTCATTTGATTATGGCGTGCGAAATTTCAATCACGCCAAAACATTCCAACGTGAGCATCCTACCGTTGCATCACCACCACTCCCCTCGAGGCAATCCTCGAAAAAAGGCGCACCGAACGGCAAACACTCAGGTTCATGCACAATTCTTCTCATTAAGAGTCCCTGCAACTTAGAACGTTCTCCCTGCGGAGGTGACCGCAGCCCCATTATTGGACAGCTTTAAGAAGAGGCTTGATAAACACGTACTCACATACGGACTATCGTCTCCCTCCTGGACAAGCTGTGCCTGGTGCATGCCTTTAGACCTGCTAATTGTTATCATTGCCACCTCATTAGATCACTCAATTAATCTATCTTGCCTATTATCTCTTTTTCCTCTCCCTTGCTTACACTTCGGTTATCTATATATTACTTAGTCCTGAAATTTAATTCATTTTATTCATTGGAATTTTCTCCGCGTCATTCTCCCCATTGCAACTAACTGATTTCCGGTCTGGTGATGTGATAACTGCTGGTATCCAGAAATCCCACAGCCCTGAAACAAACGTTTTCATTCGAATCACGGGACATACAAACTAACATACAACTGCCTAGTTCTAGGCAGTCGAGTTGCTAGACCCCAATCATTGTACATAACCAAACACCTGGAACCGTACCGAAAGAGCAAGAATCGAGTGGAAAGAGATCAGTTAGTTTATACTAACTCGTGAAAAAGATATTGATGATTGGAAGGTCGCAGCGCGTACCTTGACCTGAGGTTAGTAATAATGTATACTTGGACTTTAGTTATAAATTGACATCAGGTTTAAGATGAATGTCTTAAAGCCCATATCCTGAATTTCTTACTAAGCATAATAATTTATTCTTTTAGCTTTACTGAACCAAGATGTTCTGATAAACGATTTTAAGCCCCAATATATTGAGTGGGGGTTACTTTCGTTTCGCTTGGAATAAAATCTACGTAGGTTTGTTCTGCATCTTAGCTGTTAAGCTCAGGTACACACCCTATTTTCACATTGTTGAGGCTCTGTTATATGATTTATCTTTCGGCAGTGTGCTCACTGCTATCTATTTTGTCGTTAATTATAGCTGAGTCTGAATCTGCAAGATATTAGCTTCTTGTCAATATGAAAAGTTGAGATTCTAATTTTTCTCTCGCTTTATCTCTATTTCAGACTGAAGAACATGCTCAATATGCAAAAATTTGTTCGTCATTCTACAGGACTAGTAAAGTGTAAGTGCACCGTTATTTGGTTCTCTCACTGAATTGCAGGTATTAATAAAGTCGGATTTATGTATCCCTTTCGTCGTTACTCGTCAAATGTGAGTGCTACAAGAGAACATGAGGTTAAACAACTTCCAGATGAACAACAAAAGATTGATAGACTATCGTCTTTTGGGGCTTACGTTGGTGAATGTTTACCCAAGTTTGTCCAAAAGGTGCAACTAGGTCATACCAAAGAACTTGAAATCTGTATTCATCCGGATGGAATTATTCCAGTTCTTTCATTCCTTAAATGTCATCATAATGCTCAGTTCTTAAACCTTTCGGATATTACTGCTGTAGATATTCCATCAAGAAAATATCGATTCCAGGTATTGTTTATGTGTGTATGTGCAGTCGCTGTAGATTGTTTATAATCTTCTTTCCTTGAGGTATAATTCTCGAATTCGTGTCTTGACGTACACAGATGAACTTACACCAATCGACTCTTCTTGTTCCATTTTTCAAGCATCAAATTGGTATGAACGGGAGGTATGGGATATGTTTGGTGTATTTTTCTATGATCATCCTGACCTTCGTCGGATTCTTACTGACTATGGTTTTATAGGACATCCTCAAAGAAAAGATTTTCCTTTGAGTGGATATACGGAGGTAGGAAAACTATTTATTTTTGTAATTAAATCATCTTCGTATTCAGTGTTGGTTTTAGTGAACCTGGATCCCACAATATTAACCTATTTTTTCTTAATTGTGTGACTAAATTTATGCAAATGGTCACCAATCCATGCCCAAAGGTAGTAAGAAGCATTGTAATGATATATAAATCAACGTTACCGTACATCACCAATATCGTAAGAGAGATAACTAGGTAGATAAGAGTCAACGTAATGGATCTAGCAATGTCGACTAAACATAAATATAGTTCAGAAAAAGCTAATCAACTCAATGAATGTAGAAAGCATATTCAGCATTAACATCAGATAGAATGTTCTCCTAAATAAAAAAGGCCCAACCGTAGCTGCTACCTTGAAATTGTGGTCGGGCTTGCCTATCGTGATGACCCAGCCGAGTTATACTGTCTGGAAGGTTCTACCATGCCAGGCAGGTCGATTGGAGAACGATGAGACTAAAAGCAGCCACTCAAGTTCTGGGGGCGAAGTCGTACTGCTGACTGCAGAGGGGTAACAGCAGCAAGGTATTTCCCTCGGACAACCAGCATCTGCAGCGATGCTGCCTTCTCACAAGGAAGGAAGGGTTAGAAAAGGTCGACCCTAAAACTGTCACACCTCACCTTATCTTACGCGATTTCCGTCTCCGGAGGCAAGGCCTATCAAAAAACAGTGGAGGTAACTTATCATAGAAATGCCATGCGTGACCAGCCTCAAGCAGTTGTTCCTTGGGCTCTGCAGTCACGCTCCCAGGTCTCTAAGACGAAGACTAATCTACCTTCCTTTTCAGCTTCCACAAGAAACACCCTTCCACGGTGAGGGCAGCTGAGGAGTGACATCTGCCCTTATACCGGTAATAGCTCACGAGACCAAACTGGTCACAATCAAATCCTCCATACGTCCGCTAATGCAACCAATTCGAGTTCACGATAAAGAAGCAACTCGATTTACTCTTCGTGTATCTGAGGATCTGCCGCTGCTTTGTGGGATCTTGCTGGTGTAGGTATAGCATTGAGTCGTCGGGGAGAACTAGCTCTCCTAAACTAGATCCCAGTAGATAGTCATTTGTGCGCTGTCCAACTAAACGAGACAGTGAGGACTCGGAAAGATAGGGAAACTCGCCATTGCCTCTTCGTCATATATGCCGACGCTCCTACTGTTTGCAGTTCAGACGATGTGAAAGATGAATTCTACGAAAAGCTTTCGGACCTCCGAAATGTTGAGCGCTCTGATATAGTAATAATGACTGGTGACTTTAATGCTAAACGAAGTAGACTAAGTGAAAAGGAAAGACATCTGAGTGGATCTTATGGTGTCGCAGCTTAGAGAACAGATAATGGCGACCATCTGCTGCAGCTATGCTCAGATGACCGCCTGTTTCTAGCAAACACTAACAAGAAACACACAAGAAACAACATCTATTGACCTGGTGACCTCCGAAGTCGTTTCAACGCCTAACCCAACTAGAACATATCGCCATCAGCCACAGAAAGAGGGGTTCGATAGACGACTGTCGCTCGTTCTGGGGCACATGTTTTGATTCAGATATTGCTCTAGTGCTAGCGTGTGTTTGTTAGGAAAAACACCACAAGGAAACCTCTTGGGGTTCTACCTCATGATAGCATAGCTAAAAATACATTTCAGGAACAATTGGAAAAACAGTTGAACGGCAATGTAAGTGATTCCCATCCGGACGCATCTTGGAGTATCAAAAATGCTGTGGAAACAGTAGTGATATCTGCTTGTAGGTTAAACCATAAGGCTATGAAGAGGCCGTGGATTTCAGAAGCATCTACCGGATTGATAGACGCTCAGAAGCTCATCTCACCTAGCTCTTAGCATAACGAAGAGCGAAGTCGGTTTAAGCGTATGCTGATAAAAAATCTACGCAACGATCGCGAACAGTGGTGGGTAGTGAAAGCCAGAGCGATGCGAAAGGAACCGGTGATAGGCAACAGTAGACAACTTGTCCGTCTTATCAAGGAAACCGATTTTATAAATCCATCTGTTAGCGAAACTATCTCAGAGAAGTTTGTCTGTATCATTCACTTTCAACCCAGTAGATTAGATTGATGGGCAGAACACTTTAGGGATCAGTTCAACTGGCCTTCAGCCACACTTCGGTTGTACACGACCTCCAGTCATCCTGAATGGCAAATCGATGTAAGTCCTCTGAGTTTTATGAAAGCTATAGGAAATCTGAAGCGAGGGAGAGCTGCGGGCCCCGACTGATTAACTTCTGAGATGTTTAAGTATTGTGGTCCAGCTTTAACTGGTCTCAATCGCTGATTGTCCCAATTTACAAAAAAGTACAAAAGTCCTCTTGTGAACATCACAGAGAAATAAGTCTAACTAATATAGTATCTTTATCGACTTAAGTCCTCCGAGTTTTATGAAGTTGAGAAAGCTATAGGAAATCTAGAGCGAGGTAGAGCAGCAGGGCCTCATAGACTGACCCCTGAGATTTTTAATGGCAGTGGTCCAATTTTAACGGTTAGATTGACTGAGATCTTAGATGGAATCTAGGAACTGGGTGCAATTCCATCTGACTGGTCTCAATCACTGACTGATTCCTAAACCCTAAGGTAGTATTTGACTCTGTCGATCTCGAGGCTCTCTGGCAGTGCCTGTCATTTAATGGTGTACCGGAGAACTACATTAACCTTTTACAAACTCTCTACTTGAACGCTACTGGTCGAATCAGAGCCTATGGCAAACTGTCATCGTAGTTCATTACTTCAAGTGGTATCCATCAGGGCCGTCCACTTTCTCCGTTCTTGTTTAAATTTTTCATAGACTTGCTTTTAAAGATAACATTGTCGTTGTCTGACTCTTCAGGAGTGGACCTCCGACTAGGAGACTCGCCTGATGACTTAGATTATGGTGACGACATAGTCCTATTCGGTGTAGACGTTGACAAAATACAGTCTTCTGACTACCCTACGCAAGAATGCAAGCATGTTCGGGATGCGGTCTTCCAACTCGAAATGTAAAATGTTGTTTCATGATTAAGTTGCATCGGTACCTGGACTAGTGATAGAGAAGGACGTTGTTGAGCGTGTCAACCGCTTCACTTATCTTGGTAGTCTCCTGAGTACTCATGTCCTGGTGACCGACGAAATCTCAGCACGGATACACAAGGCTGGACTGGCTTTTTCCAACCTGCACCACATATGGCGTAGGCGAGATACCAGTATGTTGACTAAAGGACGAGTGTACTGCGCAGTAGTTCGCTCCGTTCTCCTATATGGATGCGAGATATTGCCGGTAGGAGAAGATGTTCTTAGGTTACTAGTATTCGATCACAGATGTCTTAGAAGCATTGCTCGTGTATCCTGGGGCAGACGGGTAAGCAATGCTGCTATTAGGAACCGAGTGCTCAGTAAGGATGGCAGATCACTTGATGAAGTATTGAGGCTTCATCAGTTGAAGTGGTTTGGACATGTGTTACGAATGCCTAAACACCGACTGCCTCGACGAGCTATGTTTTGTGGTGTAGGAGTAGGTTGGAAGAATGCCAGGGGCGGCCAAATCAAAACATGGCAGAAATCCATGAAGTCACTGACAAGTGGACTAATTCATGTTGGCAGATGTAGGCTACCTGGTTGGGGTCCATGAAACGAAATTCATCAATGGTTAGAGACCTTGAATGACATGGCTCAAAATTGTTTACACTGGCGCAGGTGCATCCACTCTTTGTGTTATCTCAAATTCTAATCTTCGTCAACACATCTACCTTTGTCTTTCTAAACTTATCTCACTGAATTATACTTCTTGAATATTATGTTCAAATCCTAATCCTCTCGATTAGCAGTAATTTTTCTACTACCTCTACCACTATGGGATGTGAATTGACAATTGCGTCTCTGTGCTAATTTGGTATGGCAACATGAACTGATGTACTTACGTACGATGTTCTACGTTGTAACTAACTGACCTAATGTGATATTCTGATACATACATCTGACTGGTTTTAAAGTACTTATAAACAAAAGGTCGCTAGTTAACCATCGCTCCTTAGTACAAAAACTTTGATTCAAGAACTTTACTGGCGGAAAAAAAGTCTGTGAAAGGAACTAAGGATGTCACAAAGTTCATGTCAGCATTTATGGACAGAAACGATTTACATCTTAAATAGTCAGTCATCAAATACACTCCGAAATATATTATGGCTACCAGAAAACAAACTGCTTACTCAGAATGTGTGGTTCAATGCTCCTCCAAAAAGTGTTCAGTTTGTCTTTAACAGGTTTAGACCTTCTGTAGTTGTAAGTGCGTTTTAAAACACGTTTAAACCAAAGCCTAAAATACTCAGGTCTTCATCGATAACTAATGAGACTCTTTTCCAATTTAGTATCTGATTTTTAAAAGTAGCCTCAGTAGCAGCAGGTTTCAACATACGCAAAAGGAAAAGCAAGATTTTCTGATACATTTGGTGGTGAGCTTTTGGAGGATCTAAAATCCTTTACATATCTGGGTAGCATCATTGATGAGCAAGGTGGGTCTGATGCAGATGTGAAGTCTACAATTAAACAACATTTGGAACTCAAAACAACTATCATTCAACACCAAAGTCAAATTTTTCAATACAAAGTTTTAGACGGTTCTACTGTATGGGACGGAAACTTGGAGAAATATGAAAGCCATCATCCAGAAGATACTGTTGTTCATCAACAGTTTTCAACGCAAAATACTTCGGATCCGCCGGCCAAACACTATCAGCAACAACCTACTGTAAGAGAAAACGACTCATATTCCAGCTGAGGAAGAAATCAAGAAAAGGCGCTAGGAGAGGATAGGACACGTATTGAGGAAAACACCCAACTGCGTCGCACGACAATCCCTCACCTGGAATCCTCAAAGCCAACGGAAAAGACGAAGGCCAAGGAACACATTGCGCTTAGAAATGGAGACAGACATGAGAAGAATAAACAAAAATTGGACAGAACTAGAAAGCAAAGCCCAGGACAGAGTAGGTTGGAGAATGTTAGTCGGCGGCGTATGCTCGATCGACGGTAAGAGGAGTAAGTAAGTAAGTAATGTGACTGTAAAAATTTAGCGTTAGTAATTATAGCTAAAATGTTTACATTAGTAGCGTTTTCCTGGAAGCTATTTTCCCACTGGTCTGCTAGTACACTAATATCATTTTTCTGAGGATACAATAACTCTGTCTCTTAACCCTTCTTTTAAGTCTGATAAACTTCATAGTTAATGTTTTAATTAGTATCTCTGGATTTTCCGAAGCACGGGTAAGAGAGTATAGTTTTCATTCAGTGTCCACAGTGATAGTATATACGGAAATTTCACCCGATTATCAAAAGTTATGAATCTTTGAAGACAATGTCGTTCGTGGTTTGTGATAAAACTAAGTACCATTTTTTGTTACAGTCCGTGTTTACTGACTCTTATCTTCTGAACTATATTTGCTATGTTTAGTTGACATTGCGACTCATTTCTTTTGTTCAAATTTTATGTTTACAAGTTTGCATCATAATAAATATAAGTATCTGTATAGATGCGTTCAATTTTTAACAATTTGGTCCCAAATTGTACACCTTACTCCATTAACTTTAGTTTGCACAGCCAAATAATACTTGAGCTTTTTCAATAGGAGTGACGAAGCCTAACACGCTGAAATGTTTGTTTACAAATTGCACAAATAAGTACCTCGAATCCTTTATATTCTGTTAGTTAATAGTTGATAAGTGCTATAACTACTTTATGCCATTCATGATTTCGGTCACCAAAGACCAAGTAGTCCATATGAACTAATTTGTCTTTTAAATTTGAATTGCTAACTTTGTCACATATTTAACAGTGTATTATTTTTTAGCCCTATTTTTCGGCTGACACTGATAACTTCACTTCCCATAAGTTGGTTTAAACGAAATGAATACTTATCATATGGTATTAACTCTTCTTGGTTTTCAGATGAGATATGACGACGAATACAGTCGGGTGGTCATTGAACCCGTTGAACTAGCTCAGGAATTCAGGCGATTTGAGTTCAACTCTGCTTGGGAATCATTTCCAGCTTTTCGGGATCCTAGCTCACCAGATAAGAATTTACTAGAAGCTCCCAAGTCCGGAAGCCATTCTGAAGACTCAACGCCGAAACTAAATTCTAAATAAATAACAAATTTTTTCTGTTACCTGTCGATAGTATAATTTAACAGATGAATTACAAATAGACTTCTTTTGTTCTGAGTCTTTTTTGTAATCGTAAATCTCTACTTTATAAACTGTCTCAGTATAAAACTTAATATTGATAATTCGAATATCTTGTGCATAGATTCCTAGTTTGGCATTTTTCGAATAGTGGTTATCAAAGTATTTTCCTTTTGTTTACCAGGCAATAGGATTTCATGAACCTAGTGACCAGTTTTCTTCTGTGTCAAGTTATACGTTGTAGTCGACATGGAGTCATTTGAAAAAATTACTGATGACCGTGCATTAGGTTTACGTACATAAAATCTAACTGTTTTAACTAACCTGTTGAATAAGTGAACTAGCTGTAATACTGAGACCTTTTAAGGAAATGGGAAAGGATTTGGGAAGCTCACAAAAGGCTTTTTTTAAAGGAATCGCTAACTACACCTCTCAAAGGGATCAAGTTTATTTAAGTAAGTACTGTGTGTGCTAAAATAATAACGCGATTTTTTCTCTAAACGGTCCCTCATGAACTTTATTTGAGGAAATTGTTTGTGTACACAATTACTCAAAATGGAATAAGTCATCTCAAGAGCTGAACTTTCAAATGAATTTTGAATAATGGAAAAAGAAGTAGGATAATTCGATCATCATGAGTGAAGAGTGTTTTGATCGAGATAAGATTTATTCACCTTATAGTTTGAAAGCAAATGTTTTACCCCTTAAGCTCAATTTATTTATTGGACAGACTACGTGTAGTATAGTGGGTAGTTTAAGGTACTATTTTTGTTGCTCATTTGGAGTTTTACCTCCGGGCATTCTGATACAAATTAGAAGGATCGGTTTCTGAAAGTATTTCATGATATAGATATCGGAGTTCTAGTTACTCTACTCTTAAGTTGGTAAACATGCTAGGATAAACATATTACCTTCAAAATGATGAAAAAACTAAATAATTGCCGACGTCAAGTGGTAAGATATACTGTACTCTATGGATCATTTATGGGTAATGCTAAGTTACAAATCTCACTCGAGCGCACGGATATTATTTCGGATGTAACTTTTTCCAGAGTGACGGAAAGAAATAAGTATCAAAAGTGATTTTGTGTTTGGATATTGATACTATTACTCCGTATCAAATCTTCATTTGAGAAAAATTACATAAATTTGAAAATTAATCCTTTGACATATTTACTCAGGCTTGCCCCATAAATTCTCGTTGAATATTTGCGAGACCTGTAAATGTAGATTAAGCTTATTTTTAATAATTTTCTGAACACTACATGTTCATTACAATTGAAGATTCACATGTAAGAACCTTACTGTTGTTTAAGCAGGAAGCAACCTCACATGTTTATTACTTCTTAAGAAGTTCTTGAACTAGGTTTTGAAAATGTGATTAATCGTTCTGATATAAATCAGCAGGTAGATAAAAAGCTTGTGGCATTCTACACCAACAACACATTTCTAAGTATATTCCTCAATAGTGTAACTTTTTTGGGCGCTGAAATATACCCACCTAAATAAGCTGCAACCATCATATTCTACACTCCTGAAATATAAGTTTGTTCCTTTAATTCCTTGCTAAACAATCAAGCATGAATTCTTGCAACTCATTTCTTTGGTCTGAATTGAATGTTTATGGAAACATACTTGAATCCATAGAATACGATGTACTGCTAATTACCCATACTTATTTACCAGGCATTTGAGTATAAGCCACACTCTTGATGTGAGTGTTTTATGCTGTCAGGTCGCTCAAGCAGAAATCGGAGAGAGGGGTTTGAATATAGGACTTAGTAGCCGAAAGTTGGACGTTTTAATCACTAAGTCACTGGTTCATCTCCAGGTTTATATGTCTAAGAAGCGTTTGAAAGATATGTTACGTAAAATCCTAAGTCCTCTCAATAAAAGTGTGTTGAATGTCGTTATATGAATGTTCATTAAGAGAGCATCACATTAATTACCAATTTAAACAGGATGTATTTTTACTATATTAGCTAACCGCTAATACTGTATTTATACACAGTTTTGATGTAGCTAGATAAGACCATACAGGTCCATCATTAAATACAAGCTATTATAGTTTATTTATGTTACAGCTGTTTACTACTATTTCCCAGTAGACTGAATATTGTTTGGTATTTTTAGCTTCTTAGGATCAATGAATTTGTTAAAATAAGGAAAATACAATTATTTCATAACCTTAATTCATATATATTGGTTGTTTGGATCTTCCCATTGATGTTTTTCAAGACCGCAGTTGATCAGTTTCTTTTGGTTTGCACTGCTGGTTATGATCGATCTCTGTTTATTTCATAACCTTCTTTAAAAAGTAACTGCAAACTAAATTTGATGAATAATAATGTGTTACTAGAGATTTTATTGCTTTTGCTTAGTTGATAGAATCAAGAATGTAAACGTTTATGTGTGGCCATTTTATTCTTTAAGTTTGAAGATGACGTCCGTCATGGACTATGATCTACTGGTATGGATTTGTTACATTAAATGGGACTGAACTTAGAAAGTCTGATATTTTATGGTGAACAATCCGGTCATAGTTAAGGAATTGAGTAAGAAGCTATCTTTTAGTTAATGACTCAAGTTGCTTCTATGTACTTTACTTTACACTTAAATTTCTTCATTGGTAAATACATGCCGATAATTTGCGAAGTAGATAATTATCATTTACTGTGATATTCGAAAACTCTATTTGGATCATTCGTTTTAAAAATACCAGTTTCAATGATCATTGGATATCAGATTATAATATTGTCTCGACACTCTGAAAGTGAAGCAATGAATTGTATTCATGCTGTAGACATGAGTTCCATTAGATAAAAAATAGCATACTATTATCATTTCGAAATGTCACAGTGAGTAGGTAGGTAACTCTGATTTCATTTCTTCGGGACGTGACATTCAGAAACATATAAATATAGGTCACTTATATCTGACATATTTCCATGCCTAAAGGAGTTTCTAAACTGTTAATTTATGTAAGTGAACCTAGTTTTCATAGATCATCTTCACCAAACATATTACAGCAAAATATGTAACAGCTGTAAAAACTTCCTTTCTTACAAATACTGATTTTTTAAATCAAGCAGAGAAAGTAGTGTACAGACGGGTTTTAAAATATGAAAATGTTTGGTGACTGATCAACATTATAAAACAAGGAATATTACATTTTACCAGTGTTATTAAGCAGTAATCGATTGTTATTAACAGAGAAAATCTTCGTTTGAGAGAGACAATAGTAGTGATCAAGGAAGGAGACAATCAGGACGGTCTCGTTAGGTAGTAAAGTTGTTTCTCTGAAAGATACTGAGATGAATTCACTTCGTGAGCAGTTGTAAAGAGCTAACGATAAAGTATTCCCTGATCTCTCTCTCTGAGTAACATTATCAACTAATATCAGCTCAAAATTACTTTCACAACATTTTCTGTCTCTGAAGATAATCAATGTATCCGCGAACTTGAATAAATGTTTATCAAAGTTCGATGTTTCCTCTCACGTGTATGTCAACTGAGGTAGATTTTGAAGTGGTGCATCACTTTATAACGAAATCCTTTCATTTTTCATCTTCGAAATACCAATGATAATTTATTTGAAAATAACCTGGGACCACATAAATGTTTTTCAAAAAGTTACAGATTATAATAAAAACTAATCGACATAACATGAAGTTAGTTTGACCAACATTAAAAATTGTTAAAATAAGTTTCACGAATCCCCCATATGTATTAAGTTACTCTCAAGGATATCGTGTACTCGTCTACCAAATGTTTCTTTTCTTTCTTCACCTTCGGCTTCAGTGTAATCCATGTTTACATTCATAATCAACAGCATCACAGTCATCATAGTGGGGTTCTTTTGATTTGCTTTTGTCTAAACTCTCTTCAGATGGCGTACTTCCACGTCTGCCTAGAGGATTGTGTTTGTCGTCCGAAATCAAGGTTGATCTGCGCTGAGCATCAATACTTTCAAGCACTGGTGGCATAGAAAGAAAATCATTGATTGAAATTTCACTGGGTCTCCTAACATTTCCACGACTCAATGAACGAGATGTTAATTTGTTCAAGCTGGTTTTCTCTTTATTACCAATAGCAAATGGTGAATCACTCGATTGTGCTCGTTGTAGTAAAGTTGGCAGAGATTCGTTTGATTTTCTTTGTGCAGTTTGACGTAACGGCTCAATGTTATCCATGCATTCGTCTTCTTCTTCATCATTCATGGAATGCTGTTCCTGTTCTTGTTCAAGATCATGAAATACCACTTTGATCTTCATTAGATTGCTTTCAGTACTGTCCATCTGCCTGCTTACTTTATAAAACTGTTTTCAGAAAAATGAAGTAGTTGTTGAATTTTGAAATAATAGAATTCTCTTTTCTTAATCCACCTGTTGTGCATGATTCGTAACCATTCTTACCATTGGTTAATTGATTACCTTTCCCATTGCATGTTTCACAACCAATAAATTTTTTACATTGAAATTTATGTAATCCAATATTGACATAATTTAAGTAAATTGATTCATTCATTGGTCTTGCGCTTAAGTGCAGTTCAGTTTTTTTCATAGAGTAGATATTTTTTTAATGTAGGCGAAGTAAATTTGCCGTATGTATAGCTTCTCGTAAAACGAGAAAGAAAATCAATAAGAAAAGTTTTAACTTCCTTGTCACTCAAATGAATCATGTTAATTATAGATTTCTGTAAAAAAATGTGATTATAGTCTAAGTATACTCAATTAAATAAGCATAAATAACCATGAATAGTATATAATATGCTTTCTAAAGAATGACTTCCCCGGTTTATGTAAAGGAATTCATTTGCATCCAGACATTTAGATTAATTTTCACTAATGGCTGAATAGAAATTTTGAAAATTTATTACGATAATGAAATAAAATCTCTGTGTTGAACAGTAAATTTTTCGTTCTTTCTTCTAAATTTCTTTAAAGTACTTTTCCAAACGTCAATGTTGCTAAGGTATTTGAAGCTACCATGATGAGTGTGTCACTTATTATGGTGAAAGCAAATAATAATAATATCTAATTAAATACATAAAGATTTAAAAATAGAGCTGTCGAAAGTGTTTAACTCTTACTCTTTCTGAATAAGAAATTTTTCTTCCGTTGGTTAGTTAGCAAACACAAATGACATCAAAGTTAATTCATGACACTTTCAGTATGAAATTTGAACGACTGTGAATTTTTGCCTCAGTAAAAGCTTAGTATCAAAACTGAAAGTAAGGGAATACTGTTGACCTGAACTCTGATATTCAAATCAATGTGAGTGTAGCACCGTTTACAGTAACGGAAACTATACAAAATTAACAACAATAATAGCTTACCAGCTGTCACTACTACCAGGAAGGCATCCATATTATGTTCCTTGAAAGTATGATTATGGATGCTTTAAGTGATTTTATTAAGCATAGAGATAAGTGATTTAACTAGAAATGCTTTATCTAGTTAAATACCCTAGTTGTCTTGCATTTTCTGAGCTTGTTAGCTTAATTTAGGAAATCCAATTTCTGTTCTTCGAAGCATCTTCAGTTCTCATCTCCTACAGAAATATGTGGATATAACATGTGTATGTTGGAAGTCGCTGACATATAATTGTAGACCAATATCTATCGGAATGTTAATTTTCCACGCACAATGATTCTACTAATAGTAGTGTGAAACTATATACAATATTATCTGGCAGAAAGCATGAACAAATATTTGGACAGCATTGCATGAGTTTATTTTATTTTACCAGGTTCTCATCAGCTGCTTACAACCTATAATAATTTAGAATTTAAGTCATCGTGGAAGAAATACAAACTAAATCTTACTGACGAAATATCCTTCTTCTCGGACCCTCATAGGAACCTGAATAAACCCTGAATAGTCCTACCATAATTTCAGTTAAGCACTAGGATCGTATAATTCAAAGTTGAGGTTTTCATCACAAATTGACATAACCTGCAACATAAAGTGAGTTATAGTTATATGGTTATCAATCGATTTAGAGCAAAAGTGTAAGAGGCTCTGATCGATTAGCTCGTCCGTAAAATATAGCGAAACCGAGTTTAGATTTAAGTTGAATTAAGAGTTTTAGGGGTAGTTTCGACTTGTCTGAAATATAAGATCTACGGAGATAGAGCTGAGAATTGGAGATATTTAACAATCTTACGTTTACTCTACGGTTGCAAAAATCATTTTCAAATCGTTTCATATGTTTTGAACAGTATAAAAAGATAATTTTACTACTTGTTTTACGTGATAGTTGAATTTCAAGTTAAAGCTAGTGTATTAGAAGTTGTAAATTTCTGTCTATTTAAGATGCTCTGATACTAAACATTTAATATTCGTGATTTAAAGATTGCTCATAAAAGTAGCAAAGCTTCGAAGTAAAACTTGTCCAGTTTCGTGAGATAAACATTTATTCATATAATTTTATTTCTTTATGTTTACTCTGATTCATTCGTTCTATTTCATTCAGTTAATTCACGATACATATATTGATAATCATTCACTCAGATTAAGTAATAAAAATTCATCTGGCATCACTTTTCGATGAAAACTATTCCAAAAATAAATCAGTTTTTAGAACCCATCTGAGTGGATCCTCATTTAAACGTAATTAGTGACATTTTTCGAAATCGATATTCTGAATTTCTAATCAACATTTTTACCCTTTAGATGAGCTGACTTCACAGAGTTGACAGTAGGTTTATCAGTGGTTTTTTCTGAAATATCACAGAAGTAGGATGAGGTCAGGTAATCTTTTCAAGCCAGTTCTCTTTGATATTTGAAGTTTTTAGTTTTGATATTGTATGGGAGGTCTATGTTATGTGCATAAAGAAAAAAATTGTTCATTTTCCCTAGTTTATGATTATTCTTTTATATAGCCTATGAAATATATTGATAAGTTCTTTTTGATTACAACTTCAATTTATTTAACAAAGTTTTTCATGTTTACTAATGGTTAGTGAGAATTTTAAAAATGGATTCATTTGTCCTTAACGATAGATATCAGTTAATCATTGACTAATATGTTTAACCTATGTCTAAATAAAATCTGTAACCAAACAATGTGTTCTAATGATTTGAATTAAATCGCGATTTGCTTGAAATTCACTCTGAATAATAACATGCTCTTGAATAAATATCATAATAACTCGTTTCATGTACTTTAAAGTAATTACGAATTTTATTTGTCAACCAAATAGATGCTATGAGAAAACTGTGAGGTATATGTCAATTAGTATTTATATTTACATTTAAAATCATCAATCAATCATTGTTAGACCACCATTAGAAACCTGGAAGCACTGGATGGCCGTTTCGTTCTAGTATGGGACTCATCAACAGTGCGCATCCACTACTCCTGCTCCCCACAGGATTCGAACCCGGTACCTTCAGTATTGTGCGCGAACGCCTAACCATTGGACCACTGGGCCGAAATCCGACGGTGTTAATGTCTAACTCTGATTGGTCCAGGGATTTTGCGCGACCTCACCCATTTGTCTTAGGTAGTTACTGCCTACACCCGACAGGGCTGAACTCCATTGGTCACGTCTTCTCAACTAGAACTCTGAGAATTTCCTCACGAAGCTAGTCACTAGTGAGCGATGTTATATTTAACCGAAACGTTCTTTACGTTCTTTATAACCAGTTATAATTGCAGTCACTTCGCCTATTAAATTGTTCATTAACGTTCCCGTTTGTCCACCGCATAAAAAATAACGTACTTCTAGTCTGGAAGCAAACCTAATAGTAGATGGATTCTGTTCATTTTTTTCTCAATGTAACAGGCACAAAACAACTGAATGTAAATCAAATATTCTCTATTTTATTTAAATGAGGAGAAACTATTGAGTTGAAAAATTCCACTCCCACTCTGGCTGTAACAAAACCAGATTATTATCGTCAGGTAAATCACCTGTTTGTCTGATTGATTTTATATTACGCAAACAGAAAAACAAACTTTGTAGAGTAAAATGAATTAACCTTATGAATGTGACAGATTTTATTCGGATATAGCGTCAGCGATGAGAGCTATAGAAATACTGCTGATGAATCGTTGTAGGAATAATGAGTATGTCTGTTATCATGTCCATTATGAGAGATCACCGTTATATGACTCAGTGAGATAAGAACATATTGTATTGTAATTTAATAAAATACTTCAAAAATGTTCAGCACTAAGCTTAGTTCTTCAGTAACTGATTCAGGCTTTAGAGACGAAATGACATAAGCTTGTGACTTTAAAGACATGTTTTACTTGTAGATTTAGTACAATTAGCCATAGAAAAAGATTAGAAGTTATTTTGCACACAAGGTCGATATGTTAGTGTTGACAGTAACATAGTAAACCCAAAACGGCAAATTTTCAACATCAGCGTTTAATAAGCTCAACTGTGTAATGACTTGGAACTTGAAACACAAATACAGTACTTATCAAGAGTATAAACCAAAAGTATAAGCGTTGGTGAATCATTCAAGAGAATGTTGAACACTGCTGTCATAAAAAAATTAATGAAGCTGTTAGTGGGACATAGATGGATTAAAGCATGACTACGTTGCTACGCGCTGATTGGCTAATTTCCTATCCAGTCAGCGCCTGATCGAAGCTTGGAGAACAGGATAGAAAATTCTCGTATTATTAGCTGCATGCTGATTGGTTAAATCTAATCAAGCTGATCACGTGAATTTTCTTCCAGAAGCTTTCTCATGTAAAGGCTATAAATAGACTAGCGTTGTATTTATTTTTGCCTTCTTGCTTTCTTTGCCTTGGCTTTCGCCATCACCTCCGGCTTCTTATTCCTTGCTATTTTGGAATATAATCTTTCCTGTTCAAACCGTGTTTTAACTCGGGGGACTTGTCCAGTGTTTTGTGTCAAAGAATACTAAGCAATAAAATTTAGCCGGGAATTATCTAAGCAGGCGTTACAACAGAAGCATTATAACTGCATGTACCAGTTTAAATGAGGAAGCACATACATTCGAGAAATTGACAGAAACATGAATGTTCGTATAAAGAATTGGAGTCTGAGAAGCACAACGGTTCTAGACAATACAACCGTTAGGCAATTAAATGATACCGAGCAGGTTACCAATATTCCCCAACACTGAAAATTATAAGCAGACAAAATAACCGGTTTTCTATTAGGTTTGAAAAAAACTCAAAAAAACTGCAGTATTCATAAAAAGACATAAATCAAAAGGAGTACGGATTGAAAACTTGCAAACTAAAGAGAGTTTAGTAATGCAGTCTTTCAAATTTGAATTCTCCATGAAAAATCTGTACGAGAAGTTTCTCATTTTATTATCGACCTAGAGTCCCAATACTTTATACTCAGTAATT